AGAGAAGGATAAATCAAATATGGCAAAGATGTTAGTAATTGGAAAATCTGAGTGAGGTGTATACAGCAGTTCATTGTACTATTCTTGCAACTTCCCTGTAAGTTTGAAATCATTTCAAAATAAAAAGGTGACAAAAGCAAAATCTGTTAGTAACCCTTCAATGACGTCATTCCCATATTTTTAGAATTAAGAAGTTTGTTTATAAATGAAATGATGGTGACAGTAGATGCCAGTTATTTTTAATATCTTTATTGATTTCAGAGAGGAATCGAGAGGGAAAGAAAGATAAAAACAATCAATGATGAGAGAGAATCATTGATTGGCTGCCTCCTGCACATCCCCTCCTGGGAATCAAACCCACAACCCAGGCACATGCCCTTGACTGGAATCAAACCTGGGACCCTTCAGTCCACAGACTGATGCTCTATCCACTAAGCCCAACCAGCTAGGCAGATCCCAGTTATTTATCACTGAACTTGGCCAAGTAAAAAGTTAGACATCCCCTGTTGGTCCCTCCACCAATGTTTTTCTGGTACCAAAAAAAAAAAAATTCCAAAAACGCAAGAAACACTATTTCTGTGTGTATCACTGAAAGGATGGACTCCTGACTTCATCTGGAGGCGGATGCAGTACGTTCTCAGTAATGGGCCAAGAACAGCTCTGAGGGCATGAGGGCCTGCACACACATATCTTCTTGGGTACCCGTCACAGCACGCATCCTGAGTGGCCTCCCTTGGCATGTGACTGGCTGTCCATACTAGGGGTGGTAGGTGCTACAGAGGTAAAGTAGTGATGTTGCCATTATCAACTTCAGGAAACCGGGCAGAGGAAACTTTGAGGATCAAACCGGTCCTTGCTTCCTTTACCAATTCTTCTTGGGAATGTTTAGCTGATTAAATAGCATCTCTTGGTGTGCCAGAGGGAGGATGAGGTAAGCTCCCCTCATCTTCCATCACCCAGGAGGTCCTTGGAGGATGCCGGACCCTCAATGGCAGGTGAGATTAAAAAACACGGCTCCAGTCCTGGCCAGTGTGGCTCAGTTGGGTGTCCTCCTGTGCACTGAAAGGCTGCCAGTTTGAAACCTGGCCAAGGGCGCTTGCTGGGGTTGCAGGAAGCAGCCCATGGGTGTTTTGCTCTCACCTCCATGTTTCTCTCTCTCTCTCTCTCTCTAAAAATTAATAAACTATTAACAAACAAATAGGGCTCCAATCCTTTGGGTAGAAAAAGCAGGAGCCTGAATCTGCTCTGTGGACCCTCAGCAGGTCTGCTGAACAAGAGAGGATTCTGCCAGGCCTACTGGACTCAACTGGTAGCTCTGTGAGTACAAGTGAGGGTCCCGGCTGCGGTGGGGCCTGGGACAGCGGCATGTTACCCAAATTCCATAGGCCGGGCAGGGAGAAGGTCCTGTGCTGGATTGGGACAGTGACTCTAGATTCAAGGGAGGTGGGGGGTGAGGGCTGAGTCAGGGACCATGATGACGCTGGGGGAGGGCAGTGTTTGGGACACACATTAAGGATGGAGATTGGTGAGGTGGGGGAATAGGGGGCCTGAAATAGACACAGAATTGTGAAGACTGGGACACAGGGATGAGAGTGGGGGTGAGACTGGAGTGCTAGGGTTATTGCTGAAGCTGCTAAGTGGGCCTGAGCTGTGATGACGGTGAATCAGGAGTAGGGCTGGGGGCGATTGGGTCAGTGGGGAAGACAGGGCGATGGGGAGGAAGGGGGCGAAGAGGAGGAGGAAGCGGGGCAGGATGGGTGATGGAAGAGGAGGAGGAGAATGATGGGCACTCAGCAGAAAGGAGGTCAGAGCCAGGGGAGTTCATGCCTATCCCCAACAATAGAGGTCTGGGAAGCGGAGGGGCAGGGCGAGGTACATAAGGGCGAGAGGTCAGGTGCTGATGACCTCTGCGGTGGGCTGGAGGGCTGCCCGGGACTTACCAGCCGGAGGGCTGGGCTCGTGCACAGCACTGTAACAATTCTTATTACTCACACAACTCTGGCTAGTATAATACCTATTATTCTCTTAGTATTTGCAGCCTGTGAAGCAGCACTTGGACTATCCCTCCTAGTGGTCGTATCTAACACATATGGAATCGACTATGTACAAAACCTTAATCTTCTTCAATGCTAAAAATTATTATCCCCACAATTATACTAATTCCACTTACGTGACTATCAAAAAGTAATATAGTATGAATCAATTCAACAATTTATAGTCTAGTAATCAGTATAGTGTGTTTACCTCTAATAAATCAATTCTGCGACAATAGCTTAAACCTATCCATATTATTTTTCTCCGACTCACTGTCAACTCCTCTACTAATACTAACAACTTGACTTCTACCGCTTATAATTATTGCTAGCCAGTATCATATAAATAAAGAATCCCTCGCACGAAAAAAACTATATATTACCATAATAATTTTACTCCAAATTTTCTTAATCATAACTTTCTCTGCCACCGAACTAATTATATTTTACATTTTATTTGAAGCCACACTAGTCCCCACTCTGATCATTATTACTCGATGAGGGGGTCAAACAGAACGACTAAATGCTGGAATTTATTTTCTCTTCTACACCCTAGCTGGATCATTACCCCTTTTAGTCGCCTTAGTATATACTCAAACCACCCTAGGTTCACTAAATATGCTACTGATCCAATATTTAGCCGAACCAACATGCCCTCTCTCCCTGCGCTACCTTTGAAGCCGGACTTGGCGAGTCCTCTCACTCCTCTGCAAAACATCCATTTACACAAGAACTTGAGTCAATCTTGTAGATTTGTTTTTTCTTTGAAGGCTTATAGAGGAGACCAAGAAAAGGGAATTTCATACGTACAGCACAGGATGCAGCGTTTCATTCCGTGAACCATCTCTTTCCTTATTTGCCTTTCTGGCTGTTCCTCATCCTCCCTCTGAGAGGCCTCTGAATCTTGCCCAGCCCCAGGCATCCGCTCGAGATCTTCCTCTGGGTTTCTCCATCTCTTCCCCCTTGCTCATGCAGAAAAGAGCAGCTGGGTCCCACCTTTTCCAAAGTGCTCATGGGAACACCACACAGCCTGCTTCAAAATGACCCCTCTCTGGCCAGTGTGCTCAGTGGTCAGAGCATCAGCCGCACATCGAAGGGTGGTGAAATCGATCTTGGTCAAGGGCATGTATCTGAGCAGTAGGTTCGATCTCCACTCCCCCACCCTACCACCACCTCCCCACCCACTTCTGGGCACATTTTGGAAGCAATCAATGTGTTTCTCTCTCCCTCCATTCCTCCCTTCCAATCTCTCTAAAAATCAATATAAAAATATCCTCAGGTGAGAATGGACATAAATAAATACCCTTTAATCGCCAGCATTCACCCTCTGCAGAGATTAGCACCGTTTTTATTTCTTTTTTTTAAAATATATTTTATTCATTTCTTACAGAGAGGAAGGGAGAGAGATAGAGAGTCAGAGACATCGATGAGAGAGAAACATCGATCAGCTGCCTCCTGCACACTCCCCACTGGGGATGTGCCCGCAACCCAGGTACATGCCCTTGGCCAGAATCAAACCTGGGACCTTTCAGCCCACAGGCCGACGCTCTATCCACTGAGCCAACCCAGTCAGAGCTGTTTTTATTTCTGAAACACATAATTTCTCTCATCCAACCATCCCCAAAATCCACATAGGGTTGGCATTATTCCCATTTTACAGATGAGAAAACTGAGGGTTAGCAAGATCAAGTACCTTTCCTAATATCACATGTAATAAGGGCTGACCAGTATTAAAACCCAAGCTATGGAGAGTTCTCTCTTTTCTGCATCCAGCGCAGCTAGAGAGAGGTCCGGTCGGGTTCCTGAGTAGGGGCAGCTGGGGATTGAGAAAATGAAAGAAAGAGACAGACACAGAGATGGAAGGAAAAGCTGGGACCAGGTGGGACCGCTGCCCTCTTCTGATGGAGAAAAAAAAAATTCATCTAACAAATTATTAAAGAAATGCCCATGTGCCTTCCCAGGTGCTCTCTACACCAGGCAGTTGTGCTCTTTCTCCTGCCAAGCAGCCTCACAGAGGGGCAGTATAAATAGTCACATTTGCCCCACCAGTGTGGCTCAGTGGTTGAGCTTCGACCTATGGACCAGGAGGTCATGGTTCCATTCCTGGTCAGGGCACATGCCTGGGTTGTGGGCTTGATCCCCAATGCATCTCTCTCACCATTGATGTTTCTATCTCCCTCTCCTCTCCTCTCCTCTCCTCTCCTCTCCTCTCCTCTCCTCTCCTCTCCTCTCCTCTCCTCTCCTCTCCTCTCCTCTCCTCTCTTCTCCTCTCTGAAATCAATAAAATATATTAAATAGATAAATAATATCCATATTTGAGGTGATGTCTTCGGCTCATCTATGGGCAGTCATCATGGAATTGTTGCATAGGTAAATGTCCAGATCACAGAATATGTGGCTTCCTTGATTCATTCTGTGCTTCTTTGGTATTTGGACTTGAAGAAACATTTCACGGATATAGAAATTATGTCAGGAAGTTAAATTGGATGACTTAACTATCCACTATTAAAGTATTATTAATCAAATACAAATGGAGCTGAGGCACATGGCCCATTTAATCCTCACAACCTCCTATGAGGTGGAGACAGTGGTATGACTCCTCCTCCCTTAGTGTGAATTCCTTTGTGGAAAATTCTGTCACATAGAACTTTGAAATGTAAGTCTGTCCCACAGTCTCATGGATTCTGGATTAATTATAAATATTATATACAAATGCTATATAAGAACAACATGAACTATTAAATGTTATATAAATACTTAAATAGTAATATCTTTGTGTCAGGCACTACTCTAAATACTTTACATATTCACTCATTTAATCATTACAACGGCACTATAAAGTAGGTACGATTATTTTTATTTTTAAAATATATTCTTATTGATTTCAGAGAGGAAAGGAGAGGAAGAGAGCGATAGAAACATCAATGATGAGAGAGAATCATTGATCGGCTGTCTCCGGCACGCCTCCTACTGGGGATCGAGCCTGCAACCGAGGCATGCACCCTTGACTGGAATCGAACCCGGGACCCTTCAGTCCACAGGCCAATGCTCTATCCACTGAGCCAAACCAGCTAGGGCTACTATTATTTTTCAAAGATAAATTTTTAATCCTCACCCGGAGATATATTTTTATTTATTTTAGAGAGAGAGGAAAATAGAGAGAAACACTGATGTGAGAGAGAAACATGGATCATTTGCCTTCCATGTGCACCCTGACCAGGAATCAAACCCTACACCTTTTGGTGCACAAAGCAATGCTCCAACCAACTGCAAAACCGGCCCGGGCAAAAGGTAATTTTAAATTAAGATTTCATTTACAGAAAACATAAAATTTTAAATATAATTTTATGAGTTTTGACAAATATACTATGTAATCTTCATCTCAGGCAAGGTAAAGAGCGTTTCCATCACTCCAGAAAGTCCCCTTTGCCCTTCTCAGCCATACCATCCAGAGACACAACTGTCCTGACTTCTTATCTCATAGATTAGCTTTGCTTTTTCTAGAACTTCATACAAATGGAATCACAGAGTCTGCCTGTTTAGAATAATGCTTTTGAGATTCGCTCGTGCTGAGGCACGTATCCCGTAGTTTGTTCCTTTTGTGGCTGAGAAGTATGAATACATCACAATGTGTTTTCCGTTTCCTTGTTGATGGACCTTTGAGTTTTTTTAGTCTGGCTGTTATGAATTAAGCTGCTATGAACGTTTGTAGGCAAGTATTTCAGGGGACATAGATTTTCGTTTCTCTTGGGTAATTACTTAGGGGTTGAATTAAGTAAGTGTACATTTAACTTTATCGGGAGTTACCAAAAAGCCTTCTAAAGGCTGTAAAACTTGGTATTATTATCTACAAGAGGAAAGGAGGCCCAGCCAGACGAATTCATTGCCCCCAAATACCTCGCCTTAGCATAGTGTTCTAGGGACCCTCTGGTTGGGAATGAATTAGGAAAAGGAAAAGCTGGGGCTAGAAAAGGAAGAGCCCTGCCCTAGCCAATACATTAACAGCTTGGCTCAGTGGGTAGACGTGGGCCTGTGGACCAAAGGGTCTTGGGTTCCATTCCGATCAAGGGCACGTACCTTGCTTGCAGGCTCCTCCCCGGCCCTGGTTGGGGCACTTGCAGAAGGCAACCAATCAAGGTGTTTCCCTCACACTGACGCTTCTCTCTGTCCTTTTCTCTCTCGTAAACTCTCTCTAAAAAGATCAATGGAAAAATACACCCTCGGGTGAGGATTAACAAAGAAAAGGAAAGGAGAAGGCTGTGAGGGGGAGGGAAGAGGGCGCTAAACCCACGGGAACCAGCCTCGAGCGGCTCTCTCTGTCCTGGGGGAGGGACCGGGTGCAGTCCGGGGTCAGCGCTGTCCACGCGGGGTCCGGGAGCTCCGCCTGAGGTAGCAGATGACACCTTTCCTCCCGATCCTTCTCGGGCCCTGGCCCACGGCTGCTGGCCCGGACTGCCCACCAGGAAGCGGCAGGCTGCAGGGAGGAAGCTGCCCTTAAACCCCGCTCCCATAACCAGGACGCGAGAATGCTTTGCCTAGAGACGGTTCTCTGAAGATCCTGCGGGGGGACCCGCTCCCACCTCCGGAGGCTGGTGGGAGGCAGGGTTCCACCTCCGGAGGGGATGGGCGGAGGGCGGGCGCGGGGAGGGCCTCCTGCCCCGGCGAGGAGGCCGTCAGACTCCTGCCCCTGCCGCCGCCGCCAGCCCTAGCGGCCAGCACCGCGCAGCACGCGCCGGAGACTTGGGGGTTTTTTGTCTTTCTTCCACTAAGTGATTTTTCAGGAAGCAGCTCACATGGAGAAGTGAGATCACATTTGTATCGTAAAATCAGACATCTCAGCTGAATTATCCTTTAGCTGGAAAGACTCGCAGATTCTAACGGGAGAGTTGTCGGCCTTGCCACAGGAGTGGAGGAAATAGATTTTTCACAGCGAGGAAAAAAATGTTAAATGTTGGCATTTGGTGCAGACTGTCATTTGAACCAGAAAATACCATCTAACATACAATAGGGAATTGACTGAATAGAAAGCAAACACATTTTTCCCAATGACATGGAAACCAGTTTGTGCGTGTGTTTTTTTTTAAACCTGAAGATGCATTCTCAGGAGGCCCAATTTACCTGTCAAGTTTCTACTTAACTTGTCCTTTCGTGCTAATATTTTGAATTACTTGAAAGGAAAGAGCGGAAAACACACAAGAAGTGCTTGTGATGAAAACCTGAGAGGCCTCACCAGCCAACAAGTTGCCTTAGACCCCGCCTGGGAGCCCGGGTTAGACATGGGGAGGCTCCAGCGGAGGGGAGGGCTGGCAGGTCCATTAGGGAGAAGAGACGTGGGCACAAGACGAGCCGTAAAGATGATCTGCACCATACAATTATGTCGCTGGGTGTGAACAGTCACAGTTCCCTAAGACCACCGTCATTTTACCAGCGCTGAATTAAAAGTTCACCAAGATCGTGTTACTTTTTAAAGTGGTAACTTATCGAATGGGCAATACATGAACGAGGTTCAAACATCAGAGGATACATGAAACTTTTTCACAAAAGTCTTCCTCCTCAGGCGGCCGCGGAGAGGTCAATGAGGGAAAAAGGAGACTTATGTAATACATTAAACAAGAAAGAATTTAAATAATAAAAATAGCCTTCCTCCTCTGGCATC